GGGGGGACAGGGCAGGCAGCAGATCCGCCTGGCGGGGGTGGGGGGGGACGGACACAAATCGCTGCTCCTTCATTTGTGTGCATTAAAGTAACCTCTGTTAAAGCGAGCTCCTCTTTGCCCAGCGTGACCGGACCGCGTCTAAGTGGCACGTCCCTTCGGAGAGAGGTAGGTGTGACCGTGAACAAGGAATTTCCTCATTCTGGTTAAGTAACATCTAATGAAGTGCAATTTTAAAAGATGGTTATGAGAGCAGTTAAGAGCAGTAAGTAGGACCTATGTGTCCATCTTCTGGCTATTTTCAAAGTTCAAATATTCAAGGGCAAATCGATAAAGATGCTAATCACAGTTACTAGCAAGGCCCCTGCTGGCCTTCACGCAACCCCTGACACGTCTCCCCTTTTTTTTTTTTTTTTGCAGAGCGTAAACGCGTAGGAAGGACTTGGCAGGAGAGGGTCATCTTTTTAGGGACTTAGGAATTTGTTCAGTGGGAGCGGAGGGAAGAGGGCAGCTGGTAAAGACGTACAGATACGTGAGAAGCCAGTGCTGCAGGCACCTTTCCTGACGCAGAAGAAACATCTTTCCTGCAGAAGGAAGTTACGGAGTATTTCCCAGGAAATGTTAAATTCTTTTGGACTTGGTGTTTTCTGGGGAGAAATCTTGCTTTCGCGTGGTGCTCAATACTGGATGGAAACCAGGAAGGCTTTGCTCAAACTGCATTGAAGTTACTCCTTTCACACACACAAATGTATGCCCCTTTGCTCACTACAGTTTACTTTTGCTGGAAGGTTGCTAAGAGCATTTTCTCCTTGCTTGCTCAGGCCTTCCTCAAGGCTGCTAATGCAGCTAAACTTCTAGATAAGAGGAAAACGGTATGCTCCATTATTTTTACGTTCTGGTTTTTATCACTTTGAGGAATAAGTACGTTTAATCTCTGAGAGCTAAGCAAGCAGATAAACACATTGCCATTCAGAAGTTAACGACTGCGTAAAATGATTTGGTAAGTAAAAAAATGATTTGGTTCGGTCAAGCGAGACACAAGAAGCTCAAAGATAAATTTCAACCCGCACGAGAGGTATTTTCCACAACAAAACGCTCACCTTGGGGTCAACAAATTATTTCAGGGAGCTGTTTGAACGCCTGGCTCGTTACAGATTGTGTTACCCTCAGCTGTGCATGGATAAATAAGGCCACGTTCACACTTGTTTTCCCTTCATGTTATCTGCAGCAGCTTTAAATGTGGCTCCAAGGAGGCAAGTGTGAGAGGGGTCAGGTAGCTCCTGTCTTGGGGGAGAGCAGTGTCCCCTGCTGCGGCCCTCTCCTGGGTCACTGGAGGTGCAGCGCCCACACGGCGTGCCCCAAGATGCTGGGGGGGGGGTGCTGCAGGTGAGCTAAGAGGAACGGTGAGAGGCTCTAATGGGGTGTTTTTCTCTTTTTTCATAAAACCTCCCTTTCACAGCCAGATGTGCTTAACCGTTAAAAGTCAAGTGAGGGCAGCGCAAGCGCTGTTAGTCACGTACCCTGGACTTTCCTTCCAGTAGTCCTCTGCCCGCTGCTGACATAATCTTCTTACACGCCTGAGTATACGGCAGCCTTCCAGCCTGCTCCGATACGGAACCTAAACGAGGGGGAAAAAAAAAAAAAAGAAATAAACCCCCAAGTTTTTGTTCCCTGCTGTCGGCTCCGCCAGGTGCAGCCGCCGCTTCCCCGGGGGCAGCTCCGTGGGGCGCGGGGGTCCCCCGGGGACGCCGG